GAGAAACTGATGTGAAACGATACTACATTAAAGAAAAATTATGAAAATGATCTCTATTTTATGTTTTTTTTAAATACCAGCGCTACCCTTCTAACTAATTTTATTTGTAGCCTAATGGAAGACTAATGACAGATTGAATGTATACTACCGACAGACTAATTGGTCTTGCAATTAAATGTAGACTATTGACAGACTAATAGCAGAGTAAATATAAATTACTGACAGACTAACAACAGATTAAAAACATATTAGTGGACCTTTCTTATAGGTTATTTTATGAAGAGTCATGTTTTGTAATAAAATTGCTAAGTGTGTCTTTTCAAAAATTATTGTTAATTTTTTTGACTAGTACTAATCATTAAGAATAGAAAGATAATAAAATTCACTGAGAATGGACATGGGAAGACACGTAGGATTTCTATTCTGAAAATAATAGTATATATATATACTAGGAGAAGGTCCGCACTTTGCGCTGATTTGTGATAAATTGACTATTTTAATTTTAAAATCTATTTATTATATTTGTTAGTAAAAGTTTGTTGGTAAATATTAGTTTATAAGTTATGAATACCATTTAAATTTTGTATTAAAGGGATGAAATAATAATGTGAGGTTTGACCCTTTTAGAGAAGTGAAGCTGCCATCAAGAATGACTGAAAAGAAGGTTCTCGAGAGTAGAACCATATTGTGATAATGGTAGCGGATTGAGGTTCAATGCAGTAGGAGAGGAAGTAGTGATCTATTAATGTAAAAAAAAATTATGAAAGCAAATAGTGCATGATTTTTTGTTAGATTGACCACAAAGAAATGAGTCTACTTCGGACAGAAAGGATAACAAAGTCATCTCTTAAAAGTTTTTTTTTTAAATACTAAAATAATGTGAGGGTAGGCGGGTTAAGCCAGCACTTAGGACCACCAATATTTTTGAAAAAATAAGGTTAAAAAATAGGTCACAAATTTTGAAAAAATCTAAAAAATGGGCCACAAATTTAAAATAACCAAATAAAGTTTACATTTTCTTCTTTTATAGCTTTGGACCACTATCTTAATTGGACCGGACTTGGTGATATATGAGACATAATGAAAGAGATTCTAGTGGAGAAGAAAAAAAATAAAACCGAAACCTTGTTTTTGTATCTGCTCGATAAAAGCGAATACAAAAGAGATAGGAAAAGGAAAAAGAAAAAAATGACAACTGATGTTACTATATTATATAAGATTTGTACTTTGTTGGATAGTTTGATTTTTTTATTTTTTTTTTAATAAAAGAGAATTATCGAAGAAGAAAAAAAACCGAAGCTTTGGTTTTTGTATTAGTTCAATAAAAGAAAATCTAGTAGAAATAGAAAAAAAGAAAAAGAAAAAATGTCGCATTTTAAATTCTAAGATAACATGTGACAGTATATCAGAGTTGTTTATGCAAAAAGCCTTACTATATTTTTTATAGTTAAAAACCAAAATGATATATGTCATTTTCTTAGATGCCACATAATAGTATATCGGAGCTGCTTCTAGAAACAAAAAAAACTTACTTTATTCTGAGAAGAAAAAAAAACTTAAGCGTTGTTTTTGTGTTGTTCGATAAAAGAGTATATAGTGAAGATAAAAAAAGAGAAAAAGTAACACATGGCCTTACTATATTATATAAGATTTGTTTGAGTGATTTGATTTTCGTTTCTGTTTGTTGGATAAAAAATAATAATTTGGAGAAAAGGGAAAAAAAACTTAAGCAATGTTTTATGTTTGTTTGATAAAAGAGAATATAGTAAAGATAGAAAAAAGAAAGAGAAAAAGTAACATATGAACTTACTATATTATAAGATTTGTTTGAGTGATTTTGATTTTTGTTTCTGTTTGTTGGATAAAAGAGAATAATTTGGAGAAAAAAAAACTTAAGCTTTTTTATGTGTTTCTTTGATAAAACATAATTAAATAGAAAAAAAAAACTTACTTTATTCTGAGAAAAAAAAACTTAAACGTTGTTTTTGTATTTATTTGATAAAAGAGAATATAGTAAAGATAGAAAAAAAGAGAAAAAGTAACACATGATCTTTCTCATTATATTATATAAGATTTATTTCAGCGATTTGATTATTGTTTCTATTTGTTGGATAAAAGAAAATAATTTAGAGAAAAAAAAAAAAAACTTAACCTTTTTTTTTGCATTTTTGTACTAAAATATAACTCAATAGAAATAATTAAAAAAGAAAATAACATATATTAATTTCTTAGATGCCACGTTTCAGTATATCAGAACTGTTTCTGAAAAATAATCTTATGTTATTAGAATAGATATATTTAAATTTATACACATAAAATTATTGTAATGTTTTAATTTAATATTTTAATTAAACATTAAAAATTTATTTCTCGTAATTTATTTCTTAATATGTACAAAATCATCTGTAAACAACCATCTGAAAGATCAGTTGAAAGTTTGATTCTCTTGCAAAGTCCCATTTGTTCTGAGTGTTCCTTGAAAGAACATATTATGCTAAGTTGAGACGTTTGAAATCATTTATAGTTGATTCTTGTTTGTCGTTTGCTTTCTGAGATCTTATGGATGATTAGAAGAATGAATTTGTTTCCTTTTTATTACTTGAAACGAAAAAATGAGAAAGAACAAATAAGCAGAATCTGTGATTATGTTCACGAGATCAAAGTTTCAAAACTCTGCTCATGAGTTACTGTTTTGACTTATCTTCAAGACCTTTTGGATTCTTACAATGTTATTTTCTAATAATTTTGGAACGAATCCTAAACTCGTTGAAGAATCACACATTCCTAAGTTACTTTACTTGCAAGCTATTATGAAAGAGACTCTTAGGCTTCATCCTTCACTTCCTCTACTTGTGCCTCACCGGAAGAGCGAAGCCTTGGTGGTTTCGGATTACACGGTTCTGAAATATTGGACATTTTCATCAATGTTTGGGCGATTTATAGAGATCCTAAGAATTGGGAGGATCCAAATGAATTTAAGCCTGAAAGGTTTCTTGATAGCTCGTTTGATTTCAATGGGAATGATTTTAAGTATTTACCGTTTGGGTTTGGTCGTAGGAATTTTTGCGGTGATTAACATGGCCGAGAGGATGGTTCTATACAATTAGGCTTCACTTCTGCGTTCTTTTAAATTGGGAAGCTCCTAGAGGAGAGAGATTTGAAGTTGAGGAAAAGTTTGGTCTTGTTCTCAAGTTGAACAAACCACTTAGGCCTGAGAAAAGAAAAACCTGGACCGAAAACCCGAACCAGAACAGATTTGAAATAACCGGTTCGAATCGGATTTGGTTATTAGATATTTATCCAACATATCAAAATTGTGGGTATCGGTTTAGATTCGGTTCCTACCCAACGATGTCAAAATGACCATATGAGGTGGGAAAAGGCACCACGGCTAGTAGTAGTCAAAAAAGAAAAAAAAAGCACCACGGCTAGTTTACCTTTGAATTTAATCAGTTTGAATCAGGGAAAAGACCACACGCCTATCTGTTCTAAAGCTTCCTTGGGTAAAGGAACGACGCTAAACTTCTCAGAGTGCATATCAAATGCCATGAGTACATCTTCGTGGTTGCTCTTAAGGGTGGCTATACCAGCTTATGTTTTTTAACCATAACTTTTTCACCTATATTTGAAGTTTTTGTGAATCTATTGGAGTTTTTCAATCATAGAAATGAAATTCCTATAATTGAAAATCCTCCACAGAGCTGTGCAAAAGGCTTTTCTACATAAATTCCGGGAAATATGTGAATAATAACACTTTCAATTTCATATTTATTTTTCTCTCTCAAGACCTCTCTACTTGTAAAAAAAAAAAAAAGACCTCTCCACCTTTCAATTCCTATAGCCATTTCGATTTTCCTATATCTTGTTCTTTTGTAGATTTGCAGAACTGTATAGTAGAACTTAAAATTGTTAATTATAGATAAAGTCAATTCCCTATATTTTATAATTTCTAGACTTCTCGTCAAATTCACTTGAGCCGACTGCTTATGTTGTAATTCTAACACTAGGTAAAATAAATGGCAACACCAATTTCTATTTTTATATACAATTATGCTAAACCATATTTGGTGTTTTGTCTATGTATAGATTGTGAAACAAATCAACAAATATTATTGGACACAACAACCTTAATCACGAATAAATACTTACTATGCAAATTTCGCAGACTAAAAATCTTGAACAACATTAGAAAGAAAAGCAAAATGAATCATCATATACCAGTATTTGGTTATATTTCATTCTTGTTTTACAAGACACTAGACGAATTCAGAAGGATAAGCATAAGTGTGGAACCAAATCTTCTGTGTATCGTCTGTTATATCTTGACACCTGTGGAGCTTCAAAATGATCGATTATCTGAAAAATAATCAACTGATCAAATAATCTGTCCATGATATTATCTTATTCAATAGCTGCCAATTCTCTCGCTTAAGGAGCACTACCATGTGAAGACGTAGAATATGCACATCAAAGATTTGATGAATGATATACTTTTATGGGTTATACCCACAGTAGCGACTTGAACATCTCCAAAGATATGCAAACAACAAATTGGTGCTATTCCAAATATATAAAGTGAGAAACCACAGTAGCGACTTGAACATCACATAAATGAAGCTAGAGCAGTAAGAAACCTTACCAAACCGTGGAGAGAATTGTTGAGGTTCTCAAATTCTACAATTCGTTCTTAGTCCAATGCTATCAACAGAACGACATTTCATATGGATGACTAGAATTTTGAGAAATTTTATACTATATATATATATATTTATTTATGTGATTTTATTTCCACCATTACAATCGATCGGTTTTCTTATGATTAAAACAAAAGGAGGAGCTAAGTCCCAAAAAATAAAAATAAAAACAAAAAGAGGAGCCAAGTCGTAAAATAATTTCTTCCACCATTACAATCGATCGGTGTTCTTATGATCTTCAATATTATATTGCTTTAGCTTCACATGTAGCCTAAAGCATTCTTCGGTGGTCTAATCCAAAGATTCTCAAGAGGACACAAATCCTCTCTTCATCAAACGAAGCCTTGAGAAGTAAACACTATTCCCCATCCATTGGAGGTTAACTCTCACCTCGGAAGAATAAAGACTCGTGAAGGTTTTTAAGCCATCAAGCGTAGCGCTATTGATCTGCTTCCATTTGTAAGACCCTAGTGTAAGCTTATACACAATTGGTTTCTCACCTCCGCATGTAAACATTTTAAACAACACTCCCTTACGCGCCGCCAAGAAAAATATTTTCTTCTTCCGCTCATACCGATAGCTAAATCTACCTGACATGTAAGGACACGGAGGTGAAGTAGTATAACTAAAAATCCATTGTCGAGAAGACGGTTCAAAGAAATATAACATGGTTGTGCTTAAGTGAAACACCATACTGAAGATTGGACTGTAAATCCTCAGTAATCCACTCGGTTGCTCCGGGATGGCAAGTGCTCGTAGTAAACGTACCATGCCGAACATATTTATACGCTAGCAGAACACAAGTACCTGATGCGGGTGCACATGAGAAAGCGATTGCATCATATGATAACTCAAGCTTTGGTAAGTTTACGAGTTTACGAGTAAACGGATTGAAGAAGAAAAGTTGGTGCGAAGCGGTTTTGCGCATAAGTAACCATCCGTGGATTTGGCTAGCTCCGGTAGATTCAGTGTGTACATCTTCTGTTGCAAAGGATCATAGAGTTCGAACAAGTTGCCACGTTTAGGTAAGTACATAAGCCAAGGAGGCTTATCCACCAACCGAACATAAAGACCGGCTTCACGCCATGTTTTGCAGACAGCAGAGGCGCGAATGTTATCTTTTAAGACAAGTTGAGATATTATTACTCCCAAGAGGCATAATGGAAGGTCAGCAAAACTTGGTTTGCTCTCGATGAAACCGTTTCCTTTAGCATCTACGTTTGACCTGTGAAAAAAAAATTAGATCACCAAGTGAAGTTGTGATTTGATTTTTTTACGAGTCATAAGACATCAAATTACACAAATCTTTCAGGTCCTATAAATACTGATAGTTTTCAGAGTGATAAAACAAAATGACGCTCTGAGAGGAAAGATTACATAATATCTTCTGTAAAATCTTACAACAATCTAGTCATGTTCTTTAATGCGTAACATAAGAACCCTAGAACATTTCAGGTTCTATAAAATCTACACTGAGATTGAAGATTGTATAAAAATGTTGTATATAAAATCGTACAACGTTCTAGTCATTGTAGTATAAATCTTTAATGCATCACTTATGAACCCTAGAACATTTCAGATTCTGTTAAATCTGATAAATTCCAGATAAAATTAGACTCGTATTTAAACAAATTTCACAACCCCTCGCTCTTACTCCTTAAATCCACTAAATATTCAAATATCCTGAAGATTATAATCTTCAAAAACCGCTTAAAAGGAGCCCTAGAAGATACAGAAGAATGAAACTTACAAGTAAAGCTTTCCCTTCCGGCCAGACATAGTGATGAACGACGATTACGAGGGAGACGAAGGAATTGAAGATTTGTAGCACGAGCCATATATTAAATTTTGCTTTAAGAAAAAACAAAATGGCTTATAGAAGAATGGCTAAGTCTCCTCGTAGCCCTTTATATATTACTTCCAAAACCCTTATCAGTGCGAGTTACAGCTAACGTGGCGGGTATTGTGAGTAATTATTGACAAATAAAGAGGATATAATCTGGGAGTTTTCAATAAAAAACGGCTGAATTTTGTAACGACGAAATTTTGAACACAAAGGTTCCAGCGTTTCCGTTTTCAAAAGCTGATTAGTAAATAAATTGAGATCTCGATCTAAATATTTTAGACCTCACATATTCGCAGTGTATTATGATTTGATCTTTGATTGATTTAAGATCTATATATATCAAAACTATTCCTCATATATATATTAAGACCCGCATATCTGTGAGTTTTTAATAAAATATTTGTAAATTTATAAAGTTAACTTGAAAACAAAATCGGATAATTTATATAGAAAAATAAAAATAAATTATAAATAACAAACCAAACCTTCAAAAATTAAAATAAGTTTATGAGTAATATTTTTTTTTTCTATTAGTCTTTACCTTTTTAAAAATAAATTTCTTTCTCTTAAATGAAATATATAACTTTTTATTATTTTAAATTTAATCAATTTTCTTTAGATATTGTAGTAGTTATATTTTATTATTTCTTTATTCTAAATAAGTGCTATATTTCTTAAATTTCCTAGATTAGGACTATTTATAATAACAAAATTTTAAATCCATTAAAATATTTTTTCTGAAAAAATAGAAAACAAAAACAAATGAAAAAGTGTATCAAAAAACACAAAATCAAAATCTAAAAATTATTTATTTTAATTCTCATTTGTTTTCAGTTAAAATATTCAAAATACAGAATCTATTGCAGGTCCTAATTAAGCAGTATTAACTTTATTTTTCTTTTAGTTCAACATTTTATCAAAAAAATTTCTGTTTTGTAGCGTTATAAACATAAGTGTACAATTTGAGTCCTTCGAATATGTTAACTCTCTCTCTAAACAAACAAAATTTATCCTTCTCTTCACATCCATCTCCCCTATATGATATCTCTTCCTTTGAGAGAAGTTATGCTTTTTAAGATTCGCGTCATAAGGTTTTCTACATAATTTTTGATGATCATTTTCTTTATTGAACTCATCATCGTCCAATATCATATCATTAGCATCTAAGTTTTTTTTAAATCCTACATTATAAATTTGCATGTAATTTTTTAGACTTGTCTAGTTACTGAATACCAGAAATACTTTAGATGAATACAATTTTCAGCAAACGAACTATAAATGATAAAAAATTAGAATACTAAACGAATGAATCATAACGAATAAAAATTTAGAATAATATATCATTTTATTTATCTTTAGTTTTTAAAAAAAAATCATGACATGTGTCAAAATCTGAATTAGAAAACTCGTCATATGTCACAATCATGTGAATTATTAATTTTAAAATATTTAACTTTATATAATAAGATAGGTAGCCAAAAAAAATATGCATTTCAGAAACATTATACTGTAGTCACTTCACTCACAAATACACATGCGTGTATTATGATTTATCTTGATTGATTTGGAATCCATTATTTCAAAACTTTTGATATATCTATTACTAATAAAAATTGATGCTAAATACCTCTAAGGATGTCCACGTAGGATTCAAAAGATTAAATTCTATTGGTACACATCATAATTATCTATAGTTAATTATATATTGTATATTAAAATAAATTAATTCATTTTTATTGTTATAAATAAAATTTTTAAATTTTAATTAATTTCGTTTCTGTTGTTATTAAGAAAGTTTCAAAAATTTAAGTTAGTTATTAATAATAAAAAGTTTATAAAATAGATCTTATTTTACTATTAACAATAAAAAAATAAATTAACATTGAAATATATTTAACAAACAAAAAAAATTAACAAAACCGTATTTAAAATCATAAATAGATTATTAAAGAAAATCATATATATATTGAACAAAATAACTAAAAACCGTATTTAAGATCATAATTAAACTATTACAAAATTTTAATCATGACAAACAATTAAAATCTGAACTGGTAACCTAAAATATATTAGTTGTGGTCCGTGTTGATGTCTTAAGATGATTAGTCTACATCAGCATTTTCATTAAACATAAAAAGGTTAAATATGATTAATAATTTAAATATATTAAAACATGCAAAAATATAAAATTATCATAGTAGAATAAACAATTAAGACTAAAAATTTTAACTAACACAACAGATAAAATAAAATTATGTCAAAAATCCAAATCTATGTTTGTCAAAATAAAATGGAAATTTATTGTCACAAAAGCTAAACTAATAAAAATAAATATGTAAATCAATAACAAACAATTTTAATGAAAAAATGTTTTAAGAAATTACCATATATATTATATATGTGTAATTAATTTAGAAAAAGTATGAAGATTAAAATTTTTATATAAACATATAAAATTGTTATTTGAAAGTATCAATACCTTAAAAAAAAGTTATCTAAAACTTGATATTCAACCTAATTATCTAGAAAATCAACACAAAAATCCAAACTAACCAAAAAAGTTTAACTAACAAAATTCCAAAAGTAAATTATTTTTTGCAACATGTCAATACAATTAAAATATAAATTCATATCGAAATAGTTAATTAACAAAAACAATATTAACTTGATATGTATGTTATTTTTTATTTTAAAAAACCAATATAAACAAATTAAGTAAGAAAATAAAAATAAATTAATTAATACAAAAAAACTTTACGAAAAAAAGAAGATAATTATTTAAGCTAATTTTTTTAAAAACCAATATTAAGAAATTAATTAACAAAGAAAAATAAAATAAAAATTAATTTTTACAAAATGTTAAATTTTAGAAAATTACTTAAAACGAAATTGATTTGATATTTGACTAACTACTTAAGAAATCAATATTAAAATATATAACTAACAAAAAAACAAAAAAAATGTCTTCAAAAATATCAATATTTTCAAACAATTATATGTTAAAATAAAATAAAAATCAATATCAAGAGAGGTAGAATATCCAAGGAAAAAGCTGTATAAAGAAAACCTAGCTTGATATTTAGGCTAATATTTTGGAAAATCAACATTATAAATTAACTAAAAATTTAAATGATGGTATAAGCTTTTGAGAGAAGTCCACAAAAATTTAGAATACCCAGTTATAGCATGTCAAAATAGCAGTATAACTAAAATAAAAATTAATGTAAAAAATAAATTTAAAAAAGAAAAAAAATTTATGCAAAAGAGATTAAATTGATATATGCTACCTATTTGTAAAATCAATAACAAAAGAGATTAATTAATATATATATATATATATATATGTTTTAAATATAAAAGACATGCACAAAACTTGATAAATTGAAATAAAATATAAAATTACCATAGAAAGATATGTAAAATAACAAAAAAACAAAATCTAAGAAGAAAATTAGTTTAAAATTTAGTTCTAGAAAATTTATGAATTCTAATATATTGATATTTCCTATGAATAACCATATAAAGTTACTGTAGGTTATACAAGTTTCTAAATCAGATATATTATTTAAATTTACAATGATTAATACCTTGGCTGCAACTGCTTTAAAAACTAACAAAAAAAAATACTACAAAAGTAATTTTACATTCGAAATATAACAACTAATTTATACAAGTTACTACTTATAACTTAGCCAACATGAACGACACATGAGTAACATGTTCTAAAATTTCTTTTAAATAATAAAGTATGACAAATTTATGAATTAAATTCAAATTGGAATATATCTAGATAAACTATTCAAACAAAACATGAATAAACCATACAAAAGATAAAAACAGTAATAATGTGAAGACTCCACACCACCTTACATGTTTTCAAACAAAAACTATCAAATAGTTGACTGCAAATAAAAAAATAGATCTTATAAACTAAATAGAGATATAACCTAAAATTCATAGAAGATCTGGTAGAGAAGCATTGAAGCAGCTTTACATGATTATTGTAGCATCTTAACAAAAGTAAATCCGAATCAAAATAAATCATATATTATATATTCATAGGTACACAACATCAGCGAGATATTTAATCATAAACTAAATATTTGAACATATAAACCATAAAAAAAAGAACTATAAAAATCACAAGGACACAAAACAAAACACTAAAAAATTAGTAAGGAAATTATTCTCTAAATCAAATGTATGCACGTCGAAGTTGAATAATTTGTAAGATGTTATTACTGTGATTTAACTTATTAAGATTTCTAATTTTATAATAAAAATAGTTTAAACTACATATTATGTTTTAATTTTTTTTATATTAAAAATTTTCTATAAATATATTGTAGTTTTGATAATTCAAAAGATATTAACCAAAAAAGAATAAAATCAAATTATTAATACAGACTCGTCTGTAGCGCGAATTAAAAACCTAGTATTATGTTTAAAATTTGATCAACTTGCAAATAAATTATGTAATAAAAGTAAAATCTATCGTTGTCGAGGATAAACGGAGTTTAAACGATTCAGTATACTTTTCGTTCTGATAAACTACTAATATGTTGGATTCAAATAAATATTTCCGTTGGATGTACATATATTATTATGATAGATATATATTATGTTTAAAATTTTGGAACAAGAAATGTACGTGCGCCTCATTAGGTGTCTATTATAATCTGACATAACACTAATAATTTCTACGGCTGTGTTTGTGTCTATATAAGTTATGTAACCAAAAACAAAACAATTCTCCGGCAAGTAATCATGGCTCAAACTACCATCGTGATCTTCCCCACAGCAACATTACTAATGGCGGCTACGGTTGTTTCAGGGCAGAAACCACCTAGTCCTACGGCTCCTCACACAGTTAACGAAGTTATGAACTGTGCAGCGGGTTTGACTAATTGTGTTCCGGCGATTACTTTGGGAGGAACTCCGTCGTCGGAATGATGTACTGCCTTAGAGACCGCGATGAAAACGCAGCTATCTTGTCTTTGCGGCTTTATCAAAAGCCCAATGTTATTAGTCCCTTTCAATGTCACTGCCTTCAATGCTCTTCTCTCGCAGACTTGTGAACCCACCATCGATCTCAACTTATGCTCAGAAACTGCCGGTAAAATTTTGCTTTTAACCTTCAAAACCGTACTTAAATTGGTTCATTTAATTAATAACATAAATGTTACGTGCTCTCACATTATTTTCTTAAACCACACGCGAAAACAAGTCATACTTTTTAAGATTATGCCAGGTCATACGTATATTTTCCTTAAATAATTTGATTTTTTTTTTCTTTTTCTAGCTGAAGCTCCTTTGCCACAAAGGACTCTGGGTAAATCAATTCTAATCTATACTATTAAAAGAGAGTCATTCTAAATAAATGTTCAAAAGCTACCATGGTATTTACAATATATATCATTATATTTATTAGAAAATTTCATTAATTCATTATGGATAATTTAGTCATATCATTAAACTACTAAATAATGTATTAAATTAAATTAAATTATATTATTTTGTTAATAAATAATATCAATAAATTATATCTGATATTAATAAAATTCAAATTAATTTAATTTCAAAATTATTTCAAAATCTTTCAAAATATCTTAAAATAATTACCACAAATATATATGGCATGAATAACTAATATAATTATATATATTATATTATAATCAATTTTTCTCTATACAATTAAAAGAAAATCACTACTTTAAAATGTCTAAAAGCTAATATGATATTTATTAAATGTGACAATTTATATTCAATGATGAATATATAATCAATATTTTTGGTTACATATATATATATACACTATGAAAAAAATATTATGTAAATAATTTTTGTCTGGTTGTTAATGATTTTTTTGCCAGAAATCATGAGTTTGCGGATTTGACAAATACAAATTTGTAGATTTTATGGGTTTTATAAGTTTTAGCGGGTTTTATAAGTTTTAGCAGAAAATATACTTTTACGAGAAAATGCCGGTTTGACATGAAATGTGCTTTTGTAGATTTAGCAGAAACACATGATTTTTGGTCGTAAATCATGATTTTGCAGATTTTATGGGGTTTACGGGAAAACACGGGTTTACAGAATGCAAATAAAGCAATTTTGTGGATTTTATGGATTTTACAGGTTTTAGCAAGGGTCGCACGGGAAAATGCGGGTTTGTGGGTTTGGAAACTCGATTTTGCAGGTTTGGCAGAAACACATGAGTTTAGAAATTTGGTCATAAAACATGATTTTACGAATTTTACGAAAAATATGGGTTTGTGGATTTGGCCAGAAACGTGATTTTGCGGATTTAATGAGGTTTACATGTTTTGGCGGGCTTTATAGGTTTTGATGGAAAATACAAGTTTGCAGGTTTGATAAGAAACGCAATTTGAAGGTTTGACAAAAACACATAAATTTAGAAATTTGACCATAGAATACGGTTTTATGGTGTTGGAGACATAAATTTTGGTTTTGTTAAAAAATGTGAGTTTACAGTCTTGGAAGGAAAATACGGTTTGATGGAAAATGTTATTTTTACAGTTTCTACGGGAATTCCTGATTTTTGTATAACAACATGATTTTAGTAATTTTTGATTTTGTTAAAAATGTGGGTTTACAGTTTTGGCAGGAAAATATTGTTTGATGGAAAATGCTATTTTTACAGTTTCTATGGGAATTCTCGATTTTGGTACAACTATGTGATTTTGTATTTTGCAGGAAAATGAGGTTTTTCCGATAGAAAACTCTGATTTTATGGTTTTGACAAAGAAAAATTTGATTTTATGGTTTAAATTAAAAGGTGTTTTTGGTCTTTTAATTTTTAAGATTCAAATGCTGCATCCAAACTTTATTTTTTAGTATTTTCAATATTCAAATTTTGAGATATTATAGATTTTCTATCCAGATATTTAAAAGAACAATATTTGAACATTTACATCCAAATAAGTATGTGGATTCAAAAACAAACAAAACCTAAGTAAATATAAAATCTCTCTTGCATTATAAAACATAATATTTTGAAAATATTTGTTACAAAATTTAACCAAAAATTTGCTAATCAAAATATTCTTTTTTTTTAGAAAATTAAGCTTAAATAATTTTAAGAACATAAAATCATAATGTAAAAATAGTTTATATGATCTAATAAAAAATGGTTTGGGCAACAATTTTGGATATAATAATATAAGCTAATTTTTTTGAACAAAAGTTTAATATAAACTGATTTTTGGTGTGGCTTAAAAATATTTATGTAATGAAATCCGTGCAAGTGCGCAGGTCCAAAATCTAGTGTCTCAGTTAAAACGGATAAAAATTATCGTAACTAATTTTTTCAACAAAAAATTATCATCTATACAATTAAAAGAGAATCATTTTTGATAAATATTCAAAAGCTACTATGGTATTTAGAATATATGCCATTGCATTTACTAGACAATTTCATTAATTCACTAATGGTAATTTAGTCATATCATTAAACTATTAAAAATATATTAATTAAATTAAATTAAATTAGTTTGTTAACAGATAATACTAATAAATTATATCTGATATTAATAAATTTCAAATTAATTTAATTTCGAAATTCTTTCAAAATCTTTCATAATATCTTAACATAATTACCACAAATATATATGGCATGAATAACTAATATAGTTATATATATTATATTATATATTAAATATATATTATATTATATTATAATTAATTTCTTCTCTATACAATTAAAAGAAAAGCACTACTTTAAAATTTTTAAAAGCTAATATGATATTTATTAAATATGATAATTTATAGTCAATGATGAATATGTAATTATTATTTTTTGTTACATATATACATACTTAAAAAAAAGTATTATGTAAATAATATTTTTTCTGGTTTGTTAATGATTTTTTTTATGGAAATCATGAGTTTGCGGATTTGACAAACACAAATTTCTAGATTTTATGGGTTTTACAAGTTTTAGCGGGTTTTATAAGTTTTAGCGGGAAATATACTTTTATGAGAAAATACAGGTTTGACAAGAACGTGCTTTTGTAGATTTAGCAGAAACACATTATTTTAGAAATTTGATCGTAAATTATGATTTTGCAGATTTTATGGGGTTTACGGAAAAACACGAGTTTACAGAATGCGAAAAACGCAATTTTGCGGATTTTATGGGTTTTACAGATTTTAACGGAAAAATGTAGTCATACAGGAAAATGCGGATTTATGGATTTAGAAATTCAATTTTGCAGGTTTGATAGAGACAGGTGAGTTTAAAAATTTGGTTGTAGAACATGATCTTATGGAGTTACAATTTTACAGAAAATATGTGTTTGTGGATTTGGCCAGAAACATGATTTTGTGGATTTTACGACGTTTACATGTTTTGGCGAAGTTTATAGGTTTTGATGGAAAAATATGGTTTTATAGATTTTATTGAAAATACAGGTTTGCGAGTTTGATGCAATGTTTTGAAACCCGATCGGCGAAATTTGGGATATTGTTTGACCGGCGAAATCCAGTAAAATCCGTTCAAATCCGTTGATCCGGACGAATCCAGAACCAACCTGTTCCGGGTTTTCACATAATTGATTCATATCATCACACCAACTATTGGATCTCACGGTTTTTATGAACGACATAAAAATTTACAAAAGAGAGAGAATCGACAAGAAAAAAAAAGAGGGGAAAAAGAAGAACACGTGACAACTTGAATCTTAGAAAATAAACTTTTTAAATAATGGACAACATTTTGATTATTTTCTTGTTTGTTGTCAAATTGACAATGTCAATTATATATTTATATGCATATTTTAATAGTTCAGTGACCTGTGGTTTAACCCAATGACCCATGGTCCGACCAGTGACCCAGTCATCTAAAATATTTTCATGTTGATATCCGGATCGAGTTTAAAAACATTGGGTTAATGAGAAACGCAATTTTGCAGGTTTGATAAAAACAGATAATTTTAAAAATTTGGCCACATAATCTGGTTTCATGGTGTTGGGAAAAATATAAATTTTGGTTTGTTAAAAAATATGGGTTTACAGTTTTGGAAAAAAATACATAAATTCTATTTTGATAAAAAATGCTATTTTTACCATTTCTACATAAATTCCTGATTTTGGAAGAACAACATAATTTTAGTAATTTTTGGTTTTGTTAAAAAATATGGGTTTACAGTTTTGGCAGGAAAATACTGTTTAATGGAAAATGCTATTTTTACAGTTTCTACGGGAATTCCCTATTTTTGTACAACAACGTGATTTTAGTATTTTGCGGGAAAATGCGGCTTTTTATTTCGATAGAAAACTCTGATTGTATGGTTTTGACAAAGAAAAAACTTGATTTTATAGTTTAAATTAAAAAGTGTTTTGGTCTTTTAATTTTTAAGATTCAAATGCTGCATCCAAACTCTATTTTTGGCATTTTAAATATTTAAATTTTAAAATATTATAGATTTTGTATCCAGGTATTTAAAAGAAAAATATTTGAATATTTACATCAAAATAAGTACATATCTGGATGCAAAAACAAACAAAGCCTAAGTAAATATTGAAATCTTAATTACAATCAAATAAAATCTCTCTTGCATTATAAAACATAATATTTTGAATATATTTGTTACGAAATTTAACCGAAAATCTACTAATCAAAATATATATATTTTTATATAAATCAAGCCTAAATAATTTTAAGAACATAAAAGTTAAAACCATAATGTAAAAATAGTTTATATAATCTAATAAAAAAATTCTGTTTAGGCAAGCTGATTTTGTTTGAATAAAAATTTAATATAAACCGATTTTTGGTGTGGCCTAAAAATATTTTATGAAAAGAAACCCGTGCAGGTCTAAAATCTAGTAACTAGTTATGAGGAAAACTTAGCGATCTTTTTTTATATAGAGGGGTATGATTATAAAGTTTAGCTGTACTTAAAATTTTGGTTACTGAAGTGAAATGTTTTGGTTCATCAATACTAGGACCACCTGAATGTCACGGACTTGATATTTGAGATCAATTTCGTGCGGCCCTAGCCTCTCTTTGCCTCTGCAAATAGACTAGGCAGCCTGTCTCACAAAGAAGAACCTAACTCTTTAGGAAAGAACTTTGAAAGAAAGAAGGAAAATGCTTGAATAGCTCTCTTATTCAAGAATGAGTGGATGATTACAAATAAGGGATCCCACCCCTATTTATACAAAAACACCTCCAAGATGGATGGTGAGGATCAACTTGATCTAATGGCTCATATTGAAGATATGGCCTTAATTCCAAGATCTACAACTAATGAGGGCGGATTTGTAGGGATATGGACGGATCTGTAGAGATTGATGGGTTGATTGAGCAAATTCTTTGGGATCCTCATAATTGCTATCAACCTTCTAGAAGCCCTTACAAAGCCAGCCATCGTGATAACCTCGAGTAGAGCCTTGCTGGTCCGGTCCAAATAGATGCTATGCAAAATGGGCCGTGACATTCTCCCCCACCTAATTCGGCAACGCCCTCGTTGTCGTGAAAGTCTTGTGCTGGTCTGTGAGTTGCCATAGTTCGTTCTCTGGCTCACATTTTGCTGCCCCTCGTCACCCCTTTTTTCTATCCGTTTGCGGGACTTCTTCAAATAAACCCGGGCAATGTTAGGATGATCATCCCATGTTCTGACCATCTTAGCCACTTCTCGACCTTTTGACTTGACCATCGGTGTGACCAAGGTCTGCTGAGTTAACTCCAATAACTCCACGGGTTCTTTGGTTTCCCCTTTGTCTTGCTGACACAACAGGTAAGTCTTCCCCAACTCTTTGCCAGTTGTATCAGGGTTTAATCCTTCCCGATCCTGAGTCACGACCGTATCCAGGGCATGACTGATCGCCGGAAGGTCTGCATGACTGGAGGGAGCTATGTGATGTGGTGGCTCGACTCCTACTTCCATCTCAATCTGATGAACTACCTCCCTCCTTGGTGGTAGCTCCTTGGGCAGCTCAGGTGGCATGATATCTTTGTTCCGCTGAAAGACTGCCTTGATCATGGGTGAAGAGATACTTTCTTCTCCTATCCCATCATCCACTTTCTTTACTCCCTTGGTGAGTTGCATCGCCGAGAGCTGCCTGTTCATGTCCCCTTTCTCATTGGGTGACTTCACGGTTGGGATCATGCATACTGAACCCTTTTCAAGTATACAGACTATGTTAAGGGCAGGCATTGGGATCGCCGAGACTTGCCTCTGAAAGTCTAAACCCAGCACTACCTTGAAGTCATCCATTTGCGCCACTGAGAAGTTCACCGAACCCTTCCAAGCTCCCACACTAAGCTTGACATCCCTGGCGACTCCTTGTAGTGGTTTGGCTTTGGCGTTCACTGCTTTCAGCCAACCCTCACCCTTGGTCCATGTGAGACCAAGTCTTCTTGCTTTCTCAACTGATATGAAATTATGGGTTGCGCCCGTGTCCACCATCGCTTGTGTTGGTTGCCCGTTAATGATGACTTCAACATACATCAATCCCTTACTTGTTACTTTGGACACTGGAGTTGTCCTTAGGGCATTGAGCAGTTGAAGAGATGCACTCCCTTGCTGGGTGTGGTCCCTTGCACACATAACATCCGCTTCTCGGTACAAAAGTGCTCTTCTTCGCCTCGTACTCTTCACGCCTCGAATCTCTTCCCTGGTTCCGAGCCTCATACCCGTCACGCCTCGAGTCTCTTCCCTGGTTCCGAGTGTTAGACGGTGTCACCTGGTCCTGCTTCTCTTCCTCCAAAGGTCGAACCACCTTTTCTTTTCTCTTGAAGTCCTCTGTCTGGTTTTCCTCATAAAAATCAGAAAGAGATTCAGCCGCGGCAATGGCTTCGTCCACAGACTTCACCCCACGCCGCTGCAACTCCTGTTTAGCCCATCCTTGGAGCCCATCCACGAAATGAAACTCCAAGTCTTGGTCGGACAGATTTGGAATCTGCAATGAGAGAGTAGTGAAATCCTTGACATACTCTCGGATTCTACCCCTCTGTCGAAGTTCCCTCAGCTTCCTCCGAGCCTCATAGACAACATTCTCCGGATAGAACTGCCGTTTGAGTTCCTTCTTGAACTCCTCCCACGTGTCCATCCGGCATGTGCCCCTCTCAATGTCACTATGGCGCCTCTGCCACCACAGCATGGCCGTATCCGTGAGGTAGGATGTGGCCGCCTTGATCTTTGCCGACTCATCGGTAAGACCAAGATTATCAAAGTACTGCTCCATTTGCCATAGGAAGTTCTCAACTTCCTTGGCATCCCTTGAGCCATCAAAACGGGAGGGTCTCGGGAAATCCACTCTTCCCGTCCTGGGGTTGTTGGTACCTCCATTGGCAACTGCCTTCTTGCACAATGCGAGATCTTCTTGCATCACCTCAATGCTCACCTTCAACGACTGGACCGCCCCCATCACTGTTTCCTCCAACCTGGTGAATCGCCCCTCGATCCCACCCAAGTCATTCTTGACTTCTGCCATCTCGTTGAACAATGCGTTCTCGAGTTCAGAAGTCGAGTGTTCGACTCGCTCTAGTCGTTCACCCATATCGGTAATGGCTATCCCCATAGCCCCGACCTCATCACGGACCTTGCTCCTGTCGCGCTTCATCCTGGTAATGTTCTCAAGGCCGTCCTGGTCTTCGCCTCCATTGGTACTCCTGAGAACATCCTCGGTGTTCGACATTGCTCGGCCTTTGAACGGAACTCGGCTCTGATACCACGTGTCACGGACTTGATATTTGGGATCAATTCCGTGCGGCCCTAGCCTCTCTTTGCCTCTGCAAATAGACTAGGCAGCCTGTCTCACAAAGAAGAACCTAACTCTTTAGGAAAGAACTTTGAAAGAAAGAAGGAAAATGCTTGAATAGCTCTCTTATTCAAGAATGAGTGGATGATTACAAATGAGGGATCCCATCCCTATTTATACAAAAACACCTCCAAGATGGATGGTGAGGATCAACTTGATCTAATGGCTCATATTGAAGATATGGCCTTAACTCCAAGATCTACAACTAATGAGGGCGGATTTGTAGGGATATGGACGGATCTGTAGGGATTGATGGGTTGACTGAGCAAATTCTTTGGGATCCTCATAATTGCTATCAACTTTTTAGAAGCCCTTACAAAGCCAGCCATCATGATAACCTCGAGTAGAGCCTTGCTGATCCAGTCCAAATAGATGCTATGCAAAATGGGCCGTGACATGAAGCTGACAAGAATGCTGCAAGCGAACTAGCAGAAACTGGCTTGGTCGGAATCGTCTTTATCACGATCGCTGCAATGTTTTGTTAAAATTGAATATAATTTTTAACCTTTTACGAGTGTTCATTTGCATATGATATGAACCGTATCCATGAGAAGTCAGAAATTGGTTTTGTTCGATTCAATGGCTTTGTATGTTAATTTATTTATTTTTTCAATTACAATTTTGAATTTTTGTGGAGGCTTCAGTATTTTTTCCGTCAATCTTTGATGTCTTTTTCTTTTACAACGGTAACGTATTCTTATCTCAAATTTATAAAGAAACATCTTATACACTAATCTACAATTTAGTATATGTAATTTATCATCGTGCACTTGAATACCCTTGACGTTAATTTTCGTCTAAATGATATAAATAATCATATAATTAACAACGAGAAAAGATGCTTACAGTTGTAGCCCCGTAATAAAAATTGTAGAATTAGATATATATATATATATATATATATATATATATTGGTTGTAATTTTAGATTTCTTTGATATGTTGGCCAAGCCAAAAAATTTAGATATTCTAATTAATTGAAAAAAACAAAAACTGGCTAAAAGAACGATTATTTTTGAGAAAACTATACCGTATAGTACACGGTAACTATTTCTTTTCCTTTTCTCATTAACTCTTTTGGATTATAGGGAAAGTAGTTAATATTTTTTAGTGACTCTCTACTTCTGATGTCGAATGTGATTCAGTGATTCTTGTTTGCAAGATTTTTTATTTTATTTTTAGAAACCCTGCATTTAACTATTTACACTTTTTTACGTCAACAATAGACCGAAATTGGGAAAATGACTAACTAATTAAAAGCTGTAAGAATATATATAAATAATTCCCATTGTTTTTCTATAAATACAAAGAGGGACACCAAGTACAAAAAGCCAACAAAAACAAAACATCCTACACAATTTATATTCTTCTTTGCCATATTATATCCTAACATTAGCAATGACTCAAACACCAACGACCATGGCCTCGACTATGACCATTGTCCTCATAACCGTGTTTCTAATAGTGGCAACATCGGTTACAGGGCAAGGAGAGGCGGCCCCTCCTCCAATCGCAGGTATGGTTTGTGGGGCGGATTTAGGTCTATGCGCAGCGGCGCTTGTAAAGGGAGGAAAGCCATCAGAAGAATGTTGCACAGGCCTAGACTTAGCGGTGAAGACGCAGGTGAAGTGCCTCTGTGATATCCTTATGAACCCTCAGATATTGGCTGGCTTCAATCTCACCGTTGAAAATGCTCTTCTAATCCCTAAGAGTTGTGGCATCGATGCTGGATCTTCTATGTGTTCTGGTAAAATTTATATTTACAAACTTCTTGAGTTATTAATATTGTAGTGTATTTATTATAAAATTTAAATATTAACAAACATGCTATATTTGATCTTGATTCGTTTTTTTTCCTTCTCTTTCTTATAGCCGCGAAAACTCCATTGCCTCAAGGAGTTCCACCAGTTGCAGGTAAGAAACCGTTTCTCTTTAACTTCAACAACGTAACTGAATTTTGTTACATAATCGTTAAGTTACAATGCAAAGAACGTTAGGGGAATGTAAACTTTTGATCAAATAAATTGGATTAGATAGAAACTTTTCTTTTGTAGTATGATTGTTACTAATACTAGATGCGATTAATAAATTGTAGGACCACCTGAAGATGTCAAGGGTGTTGCAACCAAACTCGCGGGAACTGGATTGGTGGGCATCGCCTTAATGACGATCTCTATGATTTTCTATTAAAATCGAATACTTTTTGATAAATTTTTTTAAGAAATTGGTTTGGCTCCTTGTAAGTTAGTTATTTATATATCGTTTTTCATTCCGAAATTTGAAATTTTGGGCTTCGATATTGTTGTTATTGTCAAATCTCTGATGTATTTTGAATTACATGTTATATTATCTCAAAATACTAAAATAATTATTTATACTATTAAATTATATAATCTTATGTTATTCAGTATATGGCATTGTTAAAAGAAATATCTTTTATAAATGACTACCCAAAAATGTTTTGTTCAATTAGTTATAAAGGATAAGAAGTTAAGAACTAGGCTCTCACGTTTAGGAGATGCCCCCCACGAAGTGCCAATTTGTTACCTTAAATACAAAAGTACCAAATGTAGATCAAACAAATAAATATTGAATTGTTTCAAAGATTGAAAATCTGATCTCCTATATACTAAAGAGAAGCATTTTTAAAGAATAACCTTATTTTGTAAATATTTACAGTGGTGCAATTATGCTAATTTTTATTCTTAGCTAATTAACTAAATAACTAACTTACAAGGAGCCATTGTTAGATTAATTACTAATGTTACATTCATTCTTTGCTAATTTTTTTTAAAAGATTTAAATTACTAGATTAATTACATGATATGCCATTGTATATTTTAGGTCCATAAATATGTTATGTTATATTTTTAAAATGAATTCAAATACAATAATATTAAAAATAATAATTTAATAAAATAAAATTTATTCCATGCTAATTATAAATATACACAAAATTTATTATATAGTATTTTAAAATATTATCCATAGATATTTTATTATAAATTCATAATAAAATATATAATATTTTTCAATGTTTACTATTTTATCATTCATATCAAAATATATAATACTTTTAATGTTTACTACTTTAAAAAATATGTTTATTGATTATTCATATGAAAATATTCTTATAAAAACAACTGAAAAATTAAAAATAATATTTTATTTTAATCAAATTCATAACAAAATATATAACACTTTACTAACATTTACTACTTTTACTACAAAATATGTTTATTAAAAATATTCTTATAAATACAACAGAATAATTAAAAATAATATTTTATTTTTCTCAAAAATTAATCAGAACAAATAAAAGAAAGCTATAATGATTTTATTCACATATATTTGTAATTATAGCATGCATGAAAATAATTGTGAAAACATATATAGTACTTCAAGCTAAATATTTTTAAGTTTATATCTTTTAACAATTCATGATATTATGTACAAAATATGTTATTAAAAATATATGTTATTTTTGTCACAAGCATCAATTAAAATAAAAAAGTCATAATGATGAATTTTCAAATTTATTATGATATATATTATTAATATTTGGATTTACTATATAAGGAAATATGATATTTTGCATTATGGTTTAATTTATATATGATAGATGACAAATATGGTATATAACATTATTGTTTACTTTTTTTGGTAAGATAATACCAATATTAATTGTTTATTTTTTATTTAATGTTTGATTTATACTATAAAATATCAAATTTTCAGCAAGATTTGTTCATGTTTTTTTTTCTTAGTTTGTCGGCTTTAAATCAATCAATTTAATTACGGTAATTTTTTTTATAAATTTATAATATTGTGATTTCAATATTTTATTAATTTATAGAATTACAAATTTATCGGTTTAGAATTAAATAAATTATTTATTAATAATTAACTAAAAATTATATTTGTTTTAAAAATTGATGATATCTTTAAATATTTCACTTTTAAATTGTAGATAAACCATAAAATTATTTCAGTTTTAAGAAAAACAAACCATTATATATTTATATTTTAGTAAATTATCATAGTTATATATTTATATAAAATTATTTTATAGTAATTATTAATTTATAATATTAAAAGAATCATATATTTATATAGATTTCCTAAAAACAAATTATCTTATAGATTTGTATCATATTTTGGACAAGTCCAATTTAGGACTAGGAAAATTTATTAATTTATTTAACTAATAATATTTAATAGATAAGTAATAAACTATTTAACTAATAATATTTATTTATTTAAGAGTCAAAAGTAACTAAATATGTACATAAATATTGTATACCCAAATCTTGGACATTGGTGAAAATAATAAATTATATCATTAATTACAGGATATAGAAAATCTATATGATAACTTCATATCTTTACTCAGTTATATCATGTGTTATGCATGTTACTTAATTTTTAAATTAATTTATATTATAATAAAATTATCTTATATTTTATTAAAAATTTTAAAAACTATATTGTCAATGTTATAGTATAATATTATATAAAATACATATAAATTTAGTTATATTGTATTATATAATTTTAAAATTATATTAAATCTAAATAAATAATAATTATTTCGTCCTGCACAGGGTGCAGGTTATTACCTAGTTCAGTTGGTATAACACATTGATTCAGATTCGTATAGGACAACGAAACAAAAAAAAACATTGGAGATACACACGGTTAACCTCAAAAAAAAAAAACAGTGGAACATAAGTTTGTGAGTAAAATTTGAGTTTTAATTTTAATAGAGAAGCAGAAAACATAAAGAGAGAATTTGATACAGTTTAGATTAGTTAATATTTTTAAATCTGTTACTAATAAAAATTGATGCTATATGCATCTAAGGGTATCCACATAGAATTTAAAAGATTCAATTCTATTAGTACACATCATCATTGTTGGAACTGGATTTAGCACCCTAAATCCAGCCCACTCAAACCTAACATGCAGATCCAAACTGAGCTAAATTGACTGGGCTTTGACCCTACGGCCCAAGTCCATTCACCTCAACGATCCAATCCTGAACAACAAACGTTCCATTCGACGAGGTCGAGCTCCAGCTCGACCAAATCCCTAGAAACAAGGAAGGATCCGAGCTAAGTCAGAGCATATTCTCGCCAGTTCAAACGAGTCTAAATTTCGTGGAGGAAACTGCTGCACGTGGCGAGATTTCCGGCTGAAGCTGCTGCACGTGGCCGAGATACGCGCTGGAGGTTGAAGCTCGACGAGGCGAGCTATATAAAGAAGACGAACGACTTAGTTTGGGGGACCTTCGGCTTGATCTTCTTCTACACTTTTTACACACGAAAACTCTGTAACTGTTCTCAAAGCTCTTTTCATCTCATTTCTTTCATAGAAATCCTTGTAACCGTTTCATTCAATCGATTAACATCAAGTCCTTTTTTCAGTTAGTGCTAGCTTATACTGTCAATCTGTTCGATAGAATCTAGCTTAATTCTCCTAAGTTTCTTCCTTTACAAAACACATAAATTTATGAATCCAGAATCATATATATGAAAATTAATTAATTTTGTTTTTATTGTTATTAGTAAAGTTTCTAAAAACTATTTAATTTTATTTTTGTTGTTATTAGGAAAGTTTCTAAAATTTTAGATAATTATTAATAAAAACGAGTTTAAAAAGTATGAAAATTAAATATTATTTTCCTATTGACAATTTAAAAAATTAAAATATTACTAAATTATAAAAATTATATAATTTATATAAAATCATTGGTCCACATCATTTTTCATAATTAATTAGATTTTTAAGATAGTTTTGTTTTTCTTTTTTGACTTATTAAGAAAATTTTTAAATTCTAATATTATACCAACTAATAAAATTTATAAAGATAAACATCATGTAAATATAAAAAAAAAATAAAAAAGAATCAACTTAATTTAAGATTATAAAAATCTATTAATTAAAAATAACACTTTCAATTATATAAAAACAAACTAAAATTAATAATAAAATGCTGTTTTACATATAATATTATTAAATTCATGTTTAAAGAACACTTTATTTATTATAAGATAATAATTTTATCACCATTGTTTGTTGTAAGTTATTACAAATATTAATTATTTACAAAAACATATCATACCTATTACTTATAAAAATTAAAACTATTTGAAGGCAAAAATATTCAGATATGATATGAAACAACCAATACATAACAAGAGTGGAGCTAAGGATGATGACAAAAGTTATTTGCTTTGGTTAGAAGAATTAAAGTACTATTGTATATTTTCATGTCAATATTATGTTTATTAAATAGAATTTGATTTTGTTTTTTAATAATTTTAAGTGGTTTTTTGGTATATTAAATTACAAATATTTGATCAGACAAGACATTTTTAAGACATATACAAATTCTTATAAAAAGAGCTATTTTAGTTGATCTTCTAACTAACAGTACACATATTAACAAAATTAATTTATATTTACAAATATTATTTAATATATAAATTAAAATATTAGATAGAACAAGAATGGAAGGCAAATAGTCAAAAAGTGAATGTATTTTTAGTGAACTCAAATAGGAAATAATAAGTAAAGAAAATAATTAATGTTTTGACTTAAATATTGTTAGCCATTGGTAAAAGACATTTGAAATTATTTGAATAAAGTGTTTGTTAATTAACTATAGATTAAAATAAATTGAAAATGCTATAGATCTCTAAGGGTGTCCACATAGGATTTAAAAAATTCAATTCTATTGGTACACCTAATCATTTATAGTTAATTATATATATGAAAATTAATTAATTTCGTTTTTTTGTTATTAGTAAAGTTTCTAAAAATTAATTAATTTTGTTTTTGTTGTTATCAGGAGATTTTCTAAATTTGTAGATAGTTATTAATAAAAACGAGTTTAAAAAATATGGAAATTAGATATTATTTTCCTATTAACAATAATTTATTTTTAAACATATTATTAGATTATAAAAAATCCTATAAAATATAAATTCATTGGTCCACATCATTTTATGTAATTAATTATATTTTTAAGTTTATTATTTTTTTAACTTATTAAGAAAATTTCAAATTCTAATATTATACTAACTAATAAAATTTATAAAAATAAGAAAATTATGTAGAATATAAAAACAAAAAAATCAACTTAATTTAAAATTATAAAAATCTATTAATTAAAAATAACATTTTAAATGATATAAAAACCATCTAAAAATAATAATAAAAATGCTGTTTTACATATAATATACTTAAATTTTTGTTTAAAGAACACTTTATTAATTATAATATAATAATTTTATCAGCATTGTTTGTTGTAAGTTATTTCAAAGATTAGTTGTTCAAAAACACATATTATACCTATTATTTATAGAAATTAAAACTATTTGAAGACAAAAATATTCAGATATGATTTGAAACAACCAATACATAACAAGAATGGAGCTAAAGATGATTACAAAATTTATTTTCTTTGGTTAGAAGAATTAAAGTACTATTGTATATTTCATGTCAATATTATATTTATTAAATAGAATTTGATTTGTTTTTACACTTTTATGTGTGTTTTTGTATATTAAATTACAAGTGTTTGATCAGACAAGACATTTTAAAAATTAGACATATACAGATTCTTATAAAAAGAACTATAAAGAAAAATATTAAATTATGATTTGAACAACTTTATGTTATTTTCTTCGCATTCATAAAAACAAATATATTTTTGCTACAAAAATTTGATCTAAACTATATCTTGACATGATTATAAATCAAGCACAAATTGGTATATATAGACTAAATATTCAAATCAAAACATGCAGAAAGCACACAAAATATAAAAACAGTGAAAAATAATGTGAAGACTCCACACCACCAATCTTACAAATTTCAAAACTAAAATTATCAAATATTAGACTGCAAAAAAAAAACACCTCCATAATAAAATGAATAAAGGCATAAGTTAAAACTCGTGTAAGATCTGGTGGAGAAGCAAAAAAAGGTTTTGCAAGATCATTATAGCTTCCTAACAAAACTAAATGCAAATCAACATGAATCATGGATTATATATGCATATGTACACAATATCAATGAGATGTTCCGTAAAAAAAATTAAATATTTAAACATATAAACCTTAAAGAAAAAAGAAATATAGAAATCATACAGAAAACAAAACAAAACATAAAGATCTTAGCAAGAAAATCCTTCTCTAAATCAAATATACGTCAAAGTTAGATAATTCGATATGTGTCATTGTTATTATTTTACTTGATAAGATTTAAAAACTTATAAATAAAAATAGGAGAAACCTACAAATTATATTTTAAATTGTATTATATAAAAGAAAATTTTTAAAAATCTACTATAATTTTGATAATTTAAAAAACAATAGCTAAAAAGAATTAACCCAAATTACAATACAGATTCGCGCATAGCGCTAGTTATAAATTTAGTAGTTTATTATTAGTTTTCATATTTGACTAACGATTTTGTAAGGTTATTAATAGTTTTCATCTTTTTAAATGTTGTATTAAAGGTTTAAAAAACTATTTTAGCATGTATTCATCAATTTATGATCAATTTGAAATTTATGTTTGGTTATTTCTTGTAATGCGTACTTATTAAAAACAAACTACTCACAAAACATATCTTCAAATTGATCAGTTTGAAATTTATGTTTGATTATTTGAAATTTTACCATTCTCGATTGCAATCTTATTGGTTATCTAAATTGAAGAAAATATCTTTAACTCTACAAAAACAAGGTTACACAATATATCATAAGTTTTGAAAAGTAATGAAATCAGAGAAACCGGAAGAATACCATATATATCTCAAAGTATACAAAATTCGTATAAAATTTGGGAGAAAATTGACCACATGTTCAAGAAATACATAAGCTTGTCAATTCTGCATAATCTTTCAAAAATCCTAATAATTTGTTTGAAAAAGGATATTTGGCATATTTATGATAAATGCTATCAATTTTTAGTAAGGAGTTGAGAGATATTGTACTGTAGTATTTATGAAAGCAAAATAATCTATAAAAGAAGATTTGTTAATTTTTTTAAAAAATAATTTGTTAGATTTAGAGAGAGTTTGTATATTCAAAAATATATTAAATTGTTTTACCTAATTTGATAATCTAAAGGATATATTGAATATTTTAAAAGTTTTCTTTCATGTGTTCGATTATTTAAAATCTATGCCCCAATAACAAAGATTTTAATAAATTCATATAGTCATTATAATATTTTTTTTTGAATAACAATGGATTTTGTATGAATTTTAAAAGCCATCAAAAGAATAACACTAAATTTTAGTAAGAATATCAAAATTCATTAACCAATAATAATAAATTTTGAAAATTTTAATAATAATTTAAAATTCTTTTCCAAATAACCCCAACTAACTATGAGTTGGGTCTAAACGATTTTGGAAGTTCAATTAACGGGTCAAACATACATTTTTTAGAAATATCAAAATTCTTTAATAACAATGGATTTTGTATGAATTTTAAAAGCCATCAAAAAAATAACACTAAATTTTAGTAAGAATATCAAAATTCATTAACCAATAATAATAAATTTTGAAAATTTTAATAATAATTTAAAATTCATTTCCAAATAACCCCAACTAACTATGAGTTGGGTCTAAAGTGTTTTTTATAACACTACTACATATATAATTTTGGAAACATAATTAAACATTTATTAAAGAAGTTTCGATATTTCTAAAAAATGTATGTTTGACCAGTTAATTGAACTTCCAAAATCGTTAGTCAAAAAAAGAAATCTGCAAAATATTAATGTACGGTTTCAATGGTTTTTCAACTATAAATACATGTAACATATCAAATTTTCGACAGAACAAACTAAATAAAAATTGACTAAAGAAGAAAAAATAAACTAGTTTAGTTAATCATTGAGCAATATCAAAAGCTATCACTAATTCATTTAAAAGGTATCATACTAATTATCTAATTTTATGGTTCTATTTATTATTAATTATGATCTTTATCATCATATAATTTATATAATCTAGATTTATTTTTGTATATTATATAAACGATTGTTTAGCCAAAAATGTGAAAAATATACATACTCGTTTATCAAAAATACACTTTTTCAAATACACATACTCGTTTATCAAAATATAACAATCTCATTTACCATACATGAAAAAAACATATTTGCAAATATTAGGCATATTTAAAAGAGTTACGAAATTTATTATATAACTGTTTTGAGTTACTATAACATCTAAATAAAATTGATTCAGTATTTGGTGGTTTTTTTAATTAGAATCATATATTGGAAGTGGAAGTTCGAAACCAATGATAAGAATTGATGTCAACTAAACTAGTTATGAATGCACAACATGTATCTTCAGGTATAAATTTTTGAACTCAAGTTTTGATTTTGATAAGTCAGAGATATTTATTTGTGGTAATGTTTTTTATTTTCTTAGTTGATGAAACCAAAAACTATTTGTATGGTAAGTTATGGAAGTTGTGTGGTGGACCTTTGTTTGATCTTCCAAAATTTGGAGAAAAAGTATATTACTTTCCTCAAGGGCATATAGAATATGTAAGCTTCTTCCGGTTTACTTTTTTATGTTCTCTTTCTCTGTTTTAAATTTGTAAAAACATTTGTGCAATTTGATGGTATTTCCAGCTTGAGACATATTCAAACGATGACATGGGTGAAATAACACCAATTTTTGATATTCCTTCAAAAATTCGGTGCAATGTTGTTGATATTCAGTTAAAGGTATGTTTCTCTGATATTGATGTTTATGTTTTAGAAAATATACATAAAATATATTGGCATATATAATATATGATATTGTTTTTTTTTTATGTACTATTTCATCACAAAGAAGAAACCTATTACTTTTTCATATTTGATATTAGGTGGAGAATGATATAGATGATATTTATGCAAAAATTAGCTTGTTGCCAGATACAGCAGTGAGTGTCAAATTAAAAATTTTATTTATAAATTCATAATTCTTTTTATAATCTAGAGTAAATAATTTTTCAAATTATAAAATTTCTAGGAAAGTGGAATGTCTATTCCTAACAATAATCAAGAAAATCAGAAAATCTACTATTTCACCAAAGTTTTAAGTGCGTCAGATATAAGTTCACATGGAGGATTTTCAATATTAAAAAGACATGCCGTTGAATGTCTTCCTCCGCTGGTATTTTCACATAGTTTCTTAACCTAATAATCTTATATATGACTCGATTTGTGAACTTTTATATGACTCTTTGCATTGAATTTTTTTAGGACATGTCTCAGCCAACACCGACTCAAGAAATAGTTGCTAAAGATCTTCACGGTTATGAATGGAGATTTAAGCACTCCTTTAGAGGTAATGAATATTTTTTTTATTTCAAACTCTGCGATTAATGATCTTCATTTAACTATAAACAATCAAGTAGGTACACCAAAAAGGCATACTTTTACAACTGGTTGGAGTGCGTTCGTGACAGCAAAAAAATTGGTTATGGGAGACTCTTTCGTATTTCTTAGGTATATATACTTTGTCGTTTTATATTCCTTTGTTTTTTAAAAAACAAAATTGAAACTTTAACTAATTTCTTATTCAAGAGGAGAGAATGGGGAGTCACGTGTTGGAATACGAAGAGCAGCTTATCAACAAGACAATATAGTTTCATCGATAATTTCAAAACAGAGTATGCACCATGGAATCATTGTTTCTGCAATGAATGCTATCACTACCAATTGCGTGTTCAATGTGTTCTGTAAGCCAAGGTAATAAATAGCACTTTATTATTCTACTTAAAACATCATATGATTAATGTTTTCAAAAAATATGTTTATATTTTTGTTCTTGATATAATTATATAAGGTCAAGCCAATTCGTCGTCAAATATAAGAAGTATATGGATGCAGTGAATAAAAAATTCAATGTCGATTCAAGTTTTACAATGCAGTTTGAGGGTGCTAATTTTACTGAAAAAAGGTAAAACTTAAACACCTATCTTTTGTTATTTGTTTTCAAAATATGATTACGAATTTCTGTTTTTTGTTTTCATTGTTAAAGATATTCGGGGAAGATTATAAGCAATACAAATTATTCCTCTCATTGGAAAGATTCTGACTGGCGAAGCTTAGAAGTAAGATTCTTTATACTTGAGTTTTTTTATTACAATAATAGCATTCACTACTCTGTTTTTGTAGGTGAAATGGGATGTGGCTGCATCAATTCCAAGACCTACTAAGGTTTCCCCATGGGAAATCGAGGCTTTGGCACCTTCATCAAACATTATCCAATCACCTTTGCTAAAGAATAAACGACCACGTCATGTTGATGAAATTGGTAAGAGAACACTATTTAATAGGTTAAGTCCTCTTTGTGTAATCATTCTCATTATATTCTAATTTATAGGTTTAGATATGCGGATTCCTACTCTGACTCAAGGCCAAGAAATTGGACAATCAAGCAGGAACTCTCCAATGAGTATTTCTCAGTTTAGTAATTGTGATGCAACCGATTATTCCAAGATTTCGTCTGGATGGATAATGAACTACTCAGTTCCTACCATAAATAAGCCGAACAGTAATGACCAAATGGTTATGTCTGTGAATGAAAAGATAACCACTGATACAATAAGTGGTTACAAATTGTTTGGAGTTGATCAGATGACTCCACCGGAAACAAAAGATCTCATCGAACAAATTGACTTATATCAAAACGTTAAAATTTCCAGAATCTCCGATGAAGAAAAGATTGAACAAGTCCAAACTCCAGCATCATCAAAAGATATCCAAAGCAAGTCAATCAATTCTAGTAGAAGTCGTATCAAGGTATTGAAAAAATCATCAATTTCTCATTTTTTACATATTACTTAGTTTCAAAAAAAAAATTTATTGTACAACTAGAGTATTAGAGAATCTGGATATGATTAGAAAATTAAATACAAAGAAGAAATGATTTCTCATATATATACTAGCATTTTAATTTGTATTATAATATATTAGATACGTCTTTTATTAGAAACTTGTATAAAACTTTAAAATAGAGTAAGACAATTTTGATTAGCCCATATATTCTTAATATTGTTATTGAACAGGTTCGAATGCAAGGTATAGCTATAGGAAGAGCTGTGGATTTAACTGTTCTTGATGGGTATACCCAATTAATCAATGAACTAGAAAAACTTTTTGATCTCAAAGACGAGCTGCGTACGCGCAATCAATGGGAAATAGTTTTTGTAGATGATGAAGGAGATATCATGCTTGTTGGAGATGATCCATGGATGTAAGTTTTTATTCTATTTATTTTTCTCTCTCCTAGATTTTAGAAAGAATTTAGTGAGAATGTTTTGTTTTGTATGTAGTGAGTTTTGCAATATTGTGAAGAAAATATTCATACGCTCCAAAAAGGAAAGTCAAGGTAATGAGATCAAAGAACAAATTCTCTAAAGGTGGCTCAACATTGAAAACAACAACAAACAACAATAACTTTTTAATTTTAATTTGATTTTCCACCTCTTTGTTTTTATTTCAAAATAAATACTTTGTTGTCATGTTTTTCTATTTCGTTTGTGTGAAAGTTATGTTGATAACTTAAATGTGTTTATGTTTTCCGAGTTTTGTTATGTTTAGTGTTTTCTTGGTAAGAAAAGTTGTTTATTACAGAAACCAAAATGAAATACATAAGCTCATTGTCAATAGAAACAACACTGGAAGCATAAGCCCACAAGAGAGAAATTAGGCCCAAACAAGGAAAACTTACTAACAAAGACTAAATTACACAACAAAACAAGTAAGTCTGCAAACACCCAAACCAAATCTGAAAGGATTAGAGCAAATGATCAACAAAAGCAGAACAGCTAGATAGCTTTCTCGGCCTCAGCAACAAGACTCCAAGCAAGAAAGACATCAATGAGGGAAGCTTCTTCCTTTGATGAAGAACTGAACACACACAAACCACTGCCCCCTTGGCACATAGTTATTGGGAGATCTCGGGATGACGAGATCGACGTGAACATATTTCCTCCTCATTATTAGGAAAGTTAACATTAATGTGTATATTACCTTACTGCTAAATAGGAAGATTTCTTATATTAAATATGTAAAAAACTTGCTAAATAAGTTATAGAGTTTGTATAAATAAGCATATTAGCTAATGAATAAAGATGAGAGAAACTATTATACTACAAAGGTTTCTTCCAAACTTATCATGGTATCAGAGCTAAGTTCCAATTCCTATGGGTTTGAGTTTTGTTATTTTTAGAGCAATAGTCACATACAAAAGACTTTGTTTGATCATTGGCTGCCTACTGCTGCAGATCTATCTTTCTATTGGTTTTTCTTCTTTAACTATTGATTTCTAAAAAAAAAAAAAAGAGAGATAGAGAGAGGAGGACGTGATTGTCCAAACTTCTCAAGAAATTCAAGATTTTCTGCTAATATTTATTATTCTATTTTTTTGGTTACTACTATATCTTAAAAAAAAAGAAGAAAGAAGAAAAAAAAAGTTCTTATTTATTTCGAATGAGAACTACGTTGTTATTATTACTAGGTGATGATCTGCGTGTACACGCGGAATTACATTTTATTATATATTATTTTATTTTAAATATACTGAGTGAATAATTTTAATATTAGAAACTATGTAAATATACAAATATTGTTAAAATTAATATATACACTCTTTGACTTATTTTTTTCAAATACCAAAATTCTTCTTAAATTTTTTGTTTTGAATTAATAGAAAAGAAGATTTTTTTTCATAATTTTATATTAAAAATAAATAACTTGAGTTTACGAAAGAAGTAATTTCAGCTTGCAAGATAAACTGGCAACTAATTATAACCCTGAAAACAAAAAAAAACAAAACACTAAAGAAAAAAGATAAAATGTGTTTTATAAAACTTGGCAATTTATAAATATGTAAATAAATAGAAATCCTAGTGTTAAAACGCATGTTAACCAAAACGTAGCATTTAACAGTGTTGTTATATTGTTAAGTATTTGGTTAAAAACAGTGTTGTTAAGTTATTCTTTGATACATAAATTAAAAATAATATAAAAAGATAGAAAACGTGACCTTTTATCTTTATTAATCTAGAACCCCCTTCATTGGTTTCAAAGTTTGGTTTTACAGTCTAATGATTTCTAATTTGAACGAACAGGTTCTCTATCGTCCTACTTTTACTCCTAATTATGTTGAGACATATTCTGTAATAGAATGAGGAAAGACAATTAACCTATTTCTATCCACGAAGACATATGTACCCTATAAATTCTTCTTGTTTTTTCATCTCACTAACTAAGACACATTACAACTATTCCATCACATCTTACATCATAATCAGAGAACACAATTAACTATTTTTTCTATTAATCTTTCATAATTTCATATTTGGAATCGAACACAAATTCTATACCAAATACGTAACACAACATTACTTCACCTTCAAACCCGACACGTCGTCCACCAAGTGAGCTTTCAATAACTTCATCAGTCAATATCTGTGCCACTCGAAAGTAAAAGTCATACACCAAACACTTCAATCAAAATCAAATTTAACAATGCATAAGTTATTGAGGATTTTACGATTTCTGTGAAAGATACATGAACGTAGAACTTAAAACGTGCACCTGCTAACTTTTCTATATCCAGACCATTAGCATATGATCGATAATTGAAATACATAATAATCTATAAGCATAGAAAATCAGAGAACCATAATTCATTTTTAATAGTTGTCTCTCATCCATAATGGGAAGGTAGCAATGAAGAAAAGCATCTTGACTTTCTTTGCTTCCTCTACATACCCCAATAGTTCAAACTATATTATCAACACTTCTCTTTAGTTTACTTGATAACTATATTTCACTTTCATCGAGAGAATAAGAACTTTGATCCACTGCTCCTCCATACACGCATCAAATTCAGCAAGCACATTCCAAAAAACTTAAAAGAATTTGTTCAAAATTTGTTATTTAATAGAACGCTGGTAACTAATGGTCACATGAATATAAGTTTTCTAGACATTCTTAATGATATAATTCATAGATATCCAAACGAACATCAAAACAACTAAACCATTCAACACGAATGCCGACAAAAATAAAATAAATCCTAATGGAAAAAATAGGTTTCGTGGATAACATGTAAACGCAGACGGAGACAAAGCGACATTGTTGTATAGGAAATGAGGTCACCTAAGGTCTGAGTTCATACACTCTGAAATCCTGATGAATTGTGAGTAACCTGTGATGACTCGCTCTAGCTATACCAAGAGTTTCTAAGAACTGAACGTGGGATTCCAGAGTTTCATCTCTATATACATATACAAAAATAAGTGAATCCATATTCCAAAATTAACCATGAAACACTGGTTTTGCCCAGAATTGAGTGCTTGCTTACAGTTTGATCTGGTAGTAGTACTCTTCATGTAGTTGCTGCTGTGTAGGTGAAACATCAAAGCCTCCCTTGGGAAGACTGAAAAGTTGATTCAGAAATATTCCAATTGCTCCTTTTGTAATATGAAGAAACTTTTAGTGGACAGAAATTGCTGATCCATCAAACAATTAAAGATCAATCACGAATCATTACTACATATAGCCAGGAAGTGGATCAGAAACAAGAGACTCAAAGTCATACTAATCGATTTTTGCTCATTATATGTACAATCTACAATCAAACGGATCTCACACTTCCGTAGACTAATTACAAAAAAATGCATACTCGACTGATCTGAAACCCGTAGATCTGGTGATAAACATCGTTCCAATCAATAATTAAACATACCTTGGCAAGAATAACGTAGAATAACAATGGTTTCTTCGTTATGGAGACTTGAATCCTGTTCTTCTAGTGAGTCTCAGCAATAGACTTGAATCCTATTCATCTTTGGTGATGGGATCAGTGTAGGTGCCGGTGTTGCTACTTCCATCAACATCTTCGATCACTCTTTCTTTCAGTCTCTACGTTACATGGAAGAAGGTTCCGGAAAAGAGAAGAAAACCCCAAATGGGAATTGAATCGGAAGAAAGTAGAAAAACTCAAATCAAACTTTGTAATATCTCTTCTTTAATAATCTCCGAGAAGCTATATTACATCGTTCTAGTTACGATGAGATGATTCTGGTCATTAGAGTTTTCAAATATATATATTACTCGTCGATGATGTCAAACACTGAAAACCATAATAGAAATTTACGGCTTATTGAAATTGCTGTAGATGGAATATTGACTGATTTGAACATTAAAAAGAGGAGACGAAGAATTTGAAAAAAATCAAATTTTATTTAAAAAAAAAATAAAATTGATGTGTCAAAAAAGGGGATGACGAGGTGTCAATCACTTGTGAGACACAAGTGAATCTTTATATAATAGACTAGGTATATAACTCGCGCTATGCGCGAGTCTGTATTATTATTTTGGTTAAAAAATATAATATAAGATAATTTAATATATAATGTGTAATTTATCCTATTTTATTTATAAGTTTTAAAAAACTATTAAGTAAAATAATAACAATGACACCCAACTTTGACGTACATATATATTTGATTTAGAGAAATATAATCTTGTTAAGATTTTAGTATTATTTTCTGTTTTCCATAGAATTTTTATAGTTCTTTTTTTTTCTTGAAGGTTTATGTGTTCAAATATTTAGTTTTTTTATTGAAAGTCTTATATAATCCATGATTCATGTTGATTTGCATTTAATTTTGTTAGAAAGATATAATGATCATGCAAAACCATTTTTTCCTTCTCCATCATGTCTTCCAAGAGTTTTATATCATATTTTTATTCAGTTTTCATTGTTTTAATTGTTAAATCGAGTTGTTGTAAATTTTTTTAAATTGATAATTGATAATGGTTACTTTTTTATACATGTATTGTTAATTGTTAATTTTTTATTTAACTTTTAAAATTTTAAACTATATTAACATTTTCTGATTTAATAAATATGTTGATTTGAATCAATCAGATTGAATTTACTTTTTTTTGTTGGACATAAATTGTTAAATTAACTTTTAATATTTTAATTATACTTAATAATTTTTGGTTTGATTAAAAAGCTGATGTGGACCAGTTAAATCAAGTTTTTCCGTCCTAATCATACGTAACATTTTTTTTATTTAATGAATATGTTGATGTAGACCAATCAGATCGTGTTTTTTAATCCTATGTGGACGCCCTCAATGCACTATGCCATCAACTTTTATATATTATATGATGATTTCGTGACTTAGTACAACCAGGTTTCTTATGCTTGCGACTTGGATGCTATTGGTTATGATGATGACTCCAATGGATATATACTGATCCAACGGTGATGATGATGTGATGAAGTTTATGTCGACTATGAACATGAATTAATTGATGGGTTCGTTCAGTTCACATGGTGATATGATGACGAGAAGATGGAGATACACAGCACTACGATCATGATGTATTTTCCACCGAATGAGAACCTTGTGGCGAGGTATAATGCCATTGATGACCTGACGGTTGGGTATAAACACTGTGAAGACGACCTGATGATTTGTCCAATCTCATACGTGTGTTGCAGGAGGATATTAGGAG